AGAAAAAACATATAAAATATGTTTTTCATAACATGATACGGATTACATGTTGAGAGAATAATATCCTGAACATACTAAGAATAGGTAATATATTCTTATACTATATAATATGTAAATGTATTATTAAAATTATTAGCCATTCTTGAAATGTTAATCATCTACTAGCACTTTTATAGAATGTTACAGGATTTGATTTGTGAAACTCTGGAATCTGAAAGCTGAAGTTGAAGAAATTCGAAAGAGGTAGAAGTTTAAGTCTGACGTTGAGGCTATGTGCTCCATGGCCCTCTCTGTGAGAAATCACTCTGTATGACAATGCATTGGTTCTGCCAAATGGAGATTTCATGTTGTAAACTTCCCTGCAAGCAGGGGAAAGTTCTACTGAGTACCACCTGCTTTCCAGACCAAAGTTTTATATCTGGTTTTTATCAGACGGTACCATGGCTTGCAGAAACTGCATAGTTTTCTTAGCACTTTCAATATTGCAGTTCCAATATGCACTCACTGTAGATAACCTGTGGTTGTATTTCAAAGCTAAAGACTAGATGATGGGAATAGGCTTATAAGATTGGAAGTTGTAAATGCAGTGAAAAAAAAACCAAAAAAACCAAAACAAAACATGTCGCTTCTCACCTCCAAAGCAGACAGCAGCAAATAGTTTCTTCTCACTCTGCTTTTTTGGCTCATTTCTCTTTTTCATTGTTTTGACTTTGGTATGACGTATGCACATTTCTAAGATATACACCAGCTAAATAAACACACAGCCTCACTCCTAAGGGAACTTTCCATATAGGTCAGTGTACTTTTTAAACCATATAAATATCAGATTAACTTGGATTCCAGAAAACCTAATGTTAGGATCTCATCCAAGATCCACATAGTTTAGTGTTTTTTTCCCCCATAAATTTGCAAGGCAAAAATGTAGAGCCAAAACGACAATTCTGTAGGCTCCTGAAAAAATGTGTTTTTTTTTGTAAATGAATTTAGCAAATTTAAATGAAATCATTTATATCACTGCATGCATTTTTACTGAACAGTATGTGAATCCATCAATAATCAATGAGCTAACCAGAGTAATCGATGGGTAGCGAATATCTCCCATGTCTGGAACCTTGTTACTCTGAAAGTTACGTAGCGTGAGCTAAACTGGTACTGTAATTGACCGTTTAGTTGGAAGCTAAAACTGACATACTCCTGGCAAAATTTTGTAGAGGTGAAACTTGATATCAGCCTTGAAAAATGAATACAGTTGAAGGGAAGAAAGAGCAGTTCTAAGGGAGGGAAAGAATTTAATAATCAGAGAAAGCTATATCTCAGGAACAGTGAGAAAACGCAGCATGGAACGGTTCTGGTCAGTGGTGAGAAATCAGGTGGGACGGGCAGAAAAAAATAAAAGGTGGGTAATTTTTAGCCTTAGGTGTAGATGTTTACCTTGAGTTGGGAGATACCAGAGAGTTCATGTTTTTTCTGGTCGTGAGAGTGATGTGAGAACAGTCAGGCTCAAACGGCAGCCGAGGGAGTGAACGAGGACAGGACAGTGGTTTGGAGGTGCTGGAGACCCAGCTGAGAGCACGGCAGTGGGGAGTCAGCTCCGGGATGCAGTCAGATGTCGTCAGAAATCTCCCTTTCATCCTTAGGGAATATACCCATTTTTGACACGTCATCAAAAGTGTCACGTCACTTTTTTCTCAGCTCATTCCAGCTAAAAGTATTTGCACTTCTCTTTTGATAATTAACCACCAGTCACAGCCCACCTCCTGTTTCAATTTTTGTACATTATTTCATCAGGTGCTTAATCGGTGCCTCTTGGAAGACTGGGGACATGCCTTACCCGTGTTTATATTTCTCCCCTGTGGAGCGGAGAGCAATGTTCTGCGTAGACTAGGTGATACGTTTGTTGCTCTTAAGTGACATTGAATGATTTGGTGACACCATCCTGGCGTAGGCACACGGTGTTTCCCATTTGGGCTGTCACTGCAGCTAGCTCACCTTCCCTTGTATTGTTCCCCCTTTTTTTTGTCTTCTTCTTCTTCTTCCTCTTACCCTCCCCCCTCCTCCCTTCCTCCTCCTCCTCCTCCTCCTCCTCCTCCTTCTTCTTCTTTTTTTCTATATTTTAGTTGAAATTGTGTTCCATTGACACCCCATTGGCTCTGAATGAAATCCCAGCCGCGTTAGTGTTCAAGTCCTCAATCACCTGGTCAGGGCTGTGCTTCTCCGTGTGTGTATATCCTGGGCTTTAGGCTCCACATCCAGTGCGGGTCATGTTGGGCCGGAGGCCCACCGCGGTGACTATCAGGCCTCTGTTTAACAGCCGTTGTCTTGGGTGAGAGTGCACTTCCTACTCCTGCCGGCGGTCCCTCTTTCTATCCTGCAGGTCACAGAGGCAGCTCTTTTGGGTTGTTATTGCCACTTCAGGCAGCTCCCAGATGCTCCTGAGCTGGGATGCCAAAAATGAGATACACCTCATCTCCTTGCCACTGACAGAAACATAGAAGATGGTTTTTTAAAGTTGTCAAAAGGGTTGCCACTACTAAACGTGCCATACACTCTCACTCCTTGGTTAGCAGTAATTTGGGACGAATGTGGAAAAACAAAGTTGGAACTCAGCCGGCGCCTGGCACGGGGTGGGCACTGCCTAGTCTGCATCCTGTCCAAAGGTACTCTGCTTCCCCATCCACAAGGCCTCTCATGATACAGAGAAGCTCTCTCCACTCTGCACCCCTGCCAGATGAGAATCACTGCCCTTAATGATCAAATATTATACTAAAACAAATCAACCAACCCTCTACCAAAGACCCTTTTTCTACAAAATGTTGGCTGATCCCTGTAAGCCATCTCAATGGAACTCATATATTGCTTCCCTATGCTCCTCACTTGACATATAATAGACAATTTCTCCTCTTGTTTTTTCCAGCGAGACTGTCTGAAATTTCCATATTTTGAACTGCTCCAGGACTTAAAATAGATGCAAAATGAAATAGTATCAAAATGAATGGACTGTGGATCCTAAATGTATGAACGCTGAGAAACTGGAACATCAAGTAACATTTATTTGTGGAGGTATGTGATTTCTAATCTTAAATCTATTTCAGTTTGTTCCATGCTAGAGAACATTGAAAAATGCTACCTGAGTAAAGCTGGTGACTTAGCTGCCCTGAACAAGTCAAAACTCTTGTTTTTTGTTACTAGAATCTGGCTTGTTCTTCTATTAAAGGTCAAAAGTTAGAGAGAATATGCCTAACAAGAGGGATTTTATTTTTTTGGCCAAAGGAAAAAGCTCTGCAGATATTTTCAGACATTTGAACCAGTGGGGCTTTGAAAATCTTGTCCTTATCTCCTTGGGTTTTCATAGATACTTCTAGTTTCACCAAAATTTGTTTATAAGACCTTTCAATACTTAATCATTCATTCAGCAATTATTTATGTGGCTCCTGTTGTGCGCCAGGCACAGTGCCAGGTAGAGGGATTCAGCCGTGAGCAGAACAAGAGGGTTCTCAAATCGTTGACACCAGCAGTCCATTGAGGAAGACCTACAGTTATCACATAATCATACAAATGAATGAGAACCCTATCAAGTGCTCTAAATTAGAGAACCTGGTGCTATGAGAACATCCCCAAGGCATCTGACCTAGGTGAGAAGGTCAGGGAAGGTGTCCTGAAGAAGTGACAATCGCACTGACGTAAGCATGATGCGTAAGAGCTAAAATTGCATTCCGTACAGAGGGACTATTACGTACGAAGGGCCTGCGACACCTGTGGGCATGGCCCCTGCAGGGGACAGACGCAGGCCAGCATGGACGGCTGAGAGAGCTGAGGAGACGTGGTGGAGACAAGCTTGGAGCAGAAGGAGAGGTCAAGCCTGCAGGTGTTAGACCATATGACGGACAGCGCTCTTCTCCTAACTGTTTGGGGAAACTGTCAAGGTTTTATAAGCAACAAGAGCCAAGGGCAGGTTTATGTCTTGAAAGCATCCCTAGAGTGAAAACACAGAGAACAGATTGGAGGGGGTGGGGAAGTGAGTGAGGGGAGGTGAGTCATCCAGGCATCAGGTGATGGCACCTTCCATCAGGGTGGCGACAGAAAGCAGGCTGGAGACTTGAAGTAAAATTAAAAGGACCTGGTGACCACTTGGATATACAGTCTGACCCCTGGGTTTCTCTGTTGGCCAAAACCTTTCCATATTAAGGCTTGTGTAGGCCTGACATATTTATTATTCTCCAAAGAAATATCCCTTTCAGTGACCCTTCCACTATTTATGGAGCACCTATTATATATTACTCTGCCTGCTGGTGACACAAGAATGGACCAGGCAGAGTCTCTGTGCCTATTGGTGCCAGATAGTCTGATTAAGGCAAAAATTTGTGCAAGCACCGTGAAAACCGTTTAAACTAAAGTGGTTCAGTTTTTCTTTTGGCAAATCAAAATTTTTTTGTGTGTGCTTTATACAATAATTTTTAAAGCCCCTTACTACCGCGTAGGAACCAGCGGGACAGGCAGGAAGGTTGAGTCAGGGAAGATGAGGACCCAGGGTCACAAAGCTGAGCTACACAGGCTCAGGTTTTCCAAATCCGAGATGAGGGGGGCCCTGCTTTTTAATTGCCTTTTTTTTTCCTTGCTTCCCCACCCCCACCCCGCTCCTTTTCCTTTTCAAAATGGAAACCATAACCAAGGAGGCTCAAAAAGCAGTCTGCTGGAGAAGAGTGTTCCTTTTCTAAATAGCCCAGTTTGAAAAATTACAGATTCAAGGGCTTCTCAACTAGAATACACGCACATTTTCACACTGTCTAGGAAACAAAAGTACACCGCTTTTGTCGTCCTCGTTAGCTAAAGTGCTATAGCCCGATTCTTTCTTGTCCGAAGGAAGGCAGACTAATTAGGAAAATTCTGATTTTGTACTGATCCATCGTGGAGGTGAACCATTTCAGGTATGCATTTTGGAAGCTTAGGCCAGTGCCCTGTGGGAAATCTTGGAACCAGGGGAAGTAAGAGGCTGAACAGCATTCACCTTACTTAGCTGCTTTATTCATTTGAGAGGCATAGTTATGTGAATACTTGTGGCGCTTTGTCCCTATAACATTGTTTTAGTTCTCACATTTTGCTGGTCTTGAATGGGTCAATGTTCTTCTGTTTTCATTAACAACGAACTTTATTTTCACAAGATTATATTAGAAAGCTTGATCCCAGGGTGGTTCTAAGGATGTGTTTGCACTTCCTTTGACCCACAAAAACATTTGAGAGATAGGAGCACGTCTTCCCTGCAGCCTTCATTTCTCAGCTCTGAGGCACTTACCACCTCTGCCTCTTCTTTACCAGAAAGATGGTTTTCCTAGTACCCATCATGTTTCCAATGCCCAAACAAACACAGATACCCACATCTGAACCACATTTTCAATAACATTATTTATCAAAATAAATTTATTAAAAGTATCCAAAGACCACGTGAAAGTTTAGCTGCCTTCAGAACAGTGTTTGGCACTCATAACGACATTTCATTTACTACACAACGTACTCGCGCTACGACACACCACTGAACAGTTCAAGCACAGACCATGTCCGTTTTAGCGTTACATGAGACAACAGCACTGATGATCTGTAGTTATAAGAACGTCCATTCACTTGCACGTAGGACACACTTTAAAGTCACTTAGTACTAAAACTACAACCACTATGTGCTAACATAGGCTGACTTGGGGAAAGAGGTACATCCAGCTAGCTAAGGCCACAGAATCCCACACCTACTGATATTAAAAATGCTTTTGGACCAACAGTATTACATTGTATCTTTCTTTCAGTCTCACATCCCTGCGTTTCCGGTGGGAGACACACCACATTCTGACCACTGTCCCTGTGTTCTCTACAGCCACGGAGGCTGCCCTGACACATGCTGCTCTTGGATGGCCACCGGCTTCCCAGCTCACTACCCAACTTCGAAGCAGCAGTTCTGAGTGATGTCTTCCCCCACACCCAGGCTGAAGTCAAGGTCAGTCTTTTGGGGCAGGTCACAGCCTTTCCCCCTTAGGAAAAAAATGAAATGTCCTCCATGTTTGGGCTTCTGTGTTCATCTCATGTAGCATGGGTCTCCGTGGTGATCTGCGGCTTTTTACACAAGTCCTGGTAGAATTCTGACTCCAAGAAACGGGGGTAAGAGTTGTTCTCCATCAAGCTGTAGACCCTTTTCTGGGCGGTCGTAAAGCAGCCACTTGTAGCCTCTTGTATATTTTGGGCAATTAGAGTTTTGGTCTGAAAGTCTATGTTTATCTGAAATAAAACAGAAAAAGTGGTTTATTCCATATTCAGAATTAGAGATTTAAATCTGTTTATTTAATATTTGAAACCAAAAACTATAATGTGTGATTATACCAACCAAGTCACTGAAGAAACTTAATCAACTTAATTGAAAGCTAAGATAAGAGAAAAAAAACATTCTCCGTCACCTCCACCCCTCCCCAACCCCTTTTCATCTGACTTCAAATCTTTTGCTTCACTTTGGAGCTAAGAATGTTCAAAACACACTAAAAGTAAAAGCTGTTTTTCCTTACCTCTTTGGGAGCTTCTTTTTCTATGAAATCAGTATATATTTTCCTTGCCTTTGAGGACAGCTTTTGGGGTGACTTTGTTTTTTTGAAGTCTTCACAGGCCAGCCAGAATTCAATATTTTCTTCACAGAATTCAGATTTTAAAAAAGCCCTGAATGCAGCAAGACCATCTGAAGGGGGAGAGAGGGAGAAGAAAACATGGCGAATGTGAATTGAGTGACCAAATACTCCCTTATGTTTTCCTGTAACTCCCACTCCCTTACCTCCATATTTTGTTAGTTATAGATGAGAATAATTTCCTAGATATCACTCAAACCTGTAATCCTCAGCTTTTAGCTCTTTAAAGACAAAGATGCCAGTAGGCAAAATGCTTAAGTTTGGCACACTGCTCCAAAGATATAAATATTTAACTTCACCATCAATGGCAATATTCCTAGGAGAGCCCTAAGTTCCCTAGGGGCTAAGCCTCTTGGAAACATTGTATGCAATGGAAAAGCTGACTCAGTCTTAACTGAGAGCAACTGCCACCCT